GAAAACTGAGGCCCGATCTGGTCTCTTGAGGTGTGTAAAGCGTGCATCTGACGCAAAGCCATCTCTCCTCGCAACGCTCACAGCTTATGCTCTCTTAAAGCAGGGAAAGCATCGTGCTCAAATGCGAGAGCACGGAAAATGGGTTGCTAAACTCAGTGGTGGCGCATTTTCAGAGGGCCCTCATTTGCATGAATGGCTGCTTTTGCATATCTACCGGGGTGATGCTTGTTGGACGGCCTCTCTTCAACATTCCAACTTCCATGCTGGAGGCTGCGGATGTCATCTAGCGGCAACATCTCGTTTGGATATTTGCTTCAATGTTCCTTGTTTGTCGGCGCTAGCAGTGCTACCCTCAACGAGGACAAGGCATATGTCATTTGATGGGTTGGTATCCCTTTCCAAGCCGATTCTCATGTGCAAAATGTGCAAGCATTTGCTAAAATGGCTTTGTGTTTGACTTCATCAAACTATATATGCGAATTTTTCAATAGATCGGATTGCATGTTGCTCATCTTGATTCAGCGCAAAGATATATACATATATATATATTGCATTGGCAGTTTCCAGCACATCAGTGAGGAGCATCTTGCAGCATGCATCAATACGGGCAACACATGTTCATTGGGTCTACCCTTCGTGCAAGTGCAGAGAGTGCAAAGAGGCACAGGGATTGTCAACTTGTCAACACACAGAATCGACAAATGCAAGTTACAAATTGAGCGTTGATTCGATGGCATAACAAATCAGGCTATCATCTGCTGTGACTGTGCCTGCCAGCCATCTTCGGATGGCCCGCGATGCATTCAACCGTTCGGTCTTCTGTATTCCACCTGTGGAATATGGCTGATGAAGTGGCAGGTTGAAGTAAACATGTGCATTTGAGCTCATTAGTCTCCAAGCTTGCCAAGGACTCTCTGCCAACCTGTAAACGCAGGTCTTCGAGGAAAAGTACACGTTGCCGTCCTGGGACATCCATAAAAGTTGGGAGGACATTCTGGCAAGTTGGCCATGGACTTTTTGGATTGCAGAAAGTGTTGCAAGGAGACCCACTCTCTGACAACAGTGCAACATGTTTGATGCGGCATGTCAATCATGGCCAACTAACTCTACCTGCCATGAAATGCGCAGTGAAATGGGAGCTGAAGTTTGAAGCTCATGCTGAGTTCAGCGTGCCAAGCCTGGCCAGCTGTGAGGTAGCTGTTTGCCTGACGCGGCGAAAGTCTTCAAAAGTTGCTTGAGCAGCAAGCGGAGTAGTAGGTAGTCTGCCCACGTCATTTGAACTTTTGAGTCAGCAACAACTGACAAATTCACCTGAAGACAATTTCTGTCTACCGGTGTCAAATCAAAGAAGGCCAACCCATATTAAGGTCTTCGACATTTCAATGAAATTCGGCAACGGAAATGAGGTGCTGTTTGGCCCATCTTCTTTTGAGCTCCCGCAATTTTGGGGGAGCAATGAACTGAATCTTTACACTCGCTTCATCCTGCTTTGGAAAGAAGGCGCAGGGTGAAACTAGACCTGCTCTGACAGTGAGAAGACATGAACTCATGAACTCAGATCTGTTTTGCACATCCTTCATCATGTGGAATGTTCTCCTGTCATTCCCTGCATTCCTCTTTGTACAGGCTTCGGGGGGATCATGTTTTGATTTTCCACGTTTAAATCTCAGGCATTTAATGCTCTGGATGTCTGGCCCTCCTTCGCAGCAGGTAGCATGCCAGTGGCTCCGAGTTCCGACTATGCAGCTCATCAGTTTAACCATCGTCATCTATGGACTCGCGACGTCGCCCTCAGCAAATACAAACCAACAAGGCTTCTCACGTCTGACAGTGCAGTTTTTTGCGTTCAATGCTCTCAGTTCTCAATCTGCCCATGTGCCCAGTTGGCTGAGGCGTCGTCGTGTTTTCCTTCTGCTCAAGATCTCTTCACTGTAACGGTCATACCACATGATGAACTCCTCCGGCAAAGAAACAAGAATGCCAGCATCTTCTTGCTATTTTCTGGATTGTCTGCTCTGTCTGCTGCTTGGGAAGTACAGAGGCCAAGCTTTAGGGCAAGTATAATATATATATATATAATTAGTCTGAGTCATAAGGTGAGCGTGGTGTGTAAACGATGCCTGGAAGGTTGGCCTGAGCTGTTTCAAAAACCTGGTTGCGGTGGGGCTCTGATCAGCTTTCCCGCCGCTTGCGCGCCCAGTGCTTTCACTTTCGCGGACCATTACAGTACCCACATGAACCTAATCTAAGTTCCTTTCTTGAGGGTTTTTGACGCTGCTCACCTGGGTGGAATGCCTGGAAAGGATAGACTTTGGAGACTGACGGGCGGTTGTTCATCATGTCTTATCCACAGAAGTTGGGAAACACATGGTGCACCAGCTTGTGTTACGGCCCTTCCAGCATAATAATATATATATATCTCTTTGCTGCAACATTATGCTGATGTCTTGTGAAACAATAAACAATGAAGTTAGACACAAAGTTCTACACCGTAGGAAGGGTGCAGCGCCCAAATTTTTGCATCACCAATGTCCAAAATACAATGCGATCATACATGTTGTAAACACTCCGGCTGTTTATGAAACTCTGAATTGCTTGCTTGCTTGTACAATTGTATAATGAATCAAAAACAGGTTCCCTCACTTATGCACAGTACAAAGCACCAACGTTCGCTTCAAACCACTCACTTCGCGGATCGCCTATGTTGCAAATAACAGTTTCCTTCAACAAAAGTGTTAGGGCAATAATACTACTGTGCACATTGCACAGCGCCACCACCATCAACCAAGCTCAACACCATGAGCTGCATCCACTAAGTGACTGGAGTGACGAAAACCCGACGCCGGCAATGACATTGACACGTTTCAACTGAGCGGCCTCAAAGTCGATTTCGCCGCTTCCATCCTGGCTCTGAGGTTGCCCACAACAGCAAATTTAAACGACTCGACTCAGTGGCTTCTTCAGTTGAAGGAAGGGTGGCGGTGGCTTTGCCTGATCTGCTTGCTGCCAAAAGAAACGCAGGCGTTGCGCCCTTGGACAAAGAGAGCAGCAATCAGTCAAGCAAAACATACATGCCAAGCTTGGGAAAACTTGGCCTGATTGATTCAGCTTGAAAGAAATTGGATATATACTATATAATGATTGGGTTTGAACCATGAAGTTTGCTGTAAGCCGACTGACCGTGGCTGCATGTCCTGCTTCATCAACCTTCAGACGTTTCTTTCCGAGGCCAAAACCAAAACCATCCATCTCACGAGGGAGATGATAAAATTGTGCGACAATGCCGCATTTGCCACATGCTGGCACGTGTTTCATAGTTTCTCTGAGCCTTTCGTGGACGTAAACCCTGTCACCATTCCACAAACGAGGGAATAGGGGAGACTACGGCTCAAGCTTGGCCCAAAGCCTCGATTTTGAAGGAAAGGCAGCATGTTACTTTTGCATTCGATCAAGCTGCACAGTCTGCCGTTTGCAGTGAGCTTTAAAACACTTGCGACTGGGTTTCAGAAGCCCAGGAAGACCAGGCCACGCCCGGTAACAAGGCTACCCCATTGCCAACCACGCAGCGACAGATGTGGAGAGCCCTTCAATCAGATTTTGGTTTGTGTTCCTTTGACACTCCTATTTACAAATTGGATCAAACTGGGGGTCTTGCTGTCCTTGCTGTGCTCTCGCACAATTCAGCTCACAGTGTGGGGACTTCTGGCCGTTTGGCATTGGCCGACAAAGCTCCATCGCAGAGGGCAAACGAAACAATTCATCTTGTGCAAGCGCAGCGTCAGGTTCCGGAGGTCGCAAAAGCCGACATTGACAACCCACACAACTGCTCAAGAGGAACAGGAAGAAGCCCCGAGGAGAGACATGAAAAACATCGCCCATACATGCCAAGGAGGCATCAGCCCCACCACTCTCACCAAGCTGCCTCGGACTGACATGGTGCGACATGAGGCGATACATAACGTAAGTTGACACCAAAGAGGCCAAGAGCAATGGAACGTGTTGCGTTTCAGTACAGCCGAAACTCTCGAATGATCAAAACCCAGCAGTGCAACTAGGTAACGAGGAGGGCTCATGTTCACGCAGCTGCAAGGCAAACAAAGGCACACGAGGCTGGGCATTGGTTGAGAATAGTCTGCCTGATAGGACGTCACAGTCTGCAGTACATCACATTAATTTTTGCCATAAAGTCACTGGCACCCTGAATTGGAGTCAAACTCTACATTCTGGCAACATCCCGTTGAGATAAATTGTTCAATGAGATGAGAGCACATGAGCAAGCTGAGAGCACAGGAACCTCCTGTTTCAGCCAGGTGTTTTTCAGATGTTGAAGAACTCATCACTGATCATAATCCTCCTGATTCCTGATGTTAAAACCTTCTCGTTGGGCTTAAAATGAGACAATAAGTGCCTTGAATCTACTGGCCAGGCAGGGTTCTGGCAAAGACATGGAGACAGAAGCTGGAGTAAGAAAGGAGAAGTCAGGAAGCCGATTACTCGAACTTACCCCAACTTTCGTTGGTGAACTGGTAACACCAAAAATGGCAAAGGTGTCGAGCAAAAAGAGGTGGGTGTAGTTTTCAACTAGCAAACAGCTCTCAAGCTCCAAGTGGTTTTCCGCCGCCTCTGCAAGGGCGAAGTTCGTGAACCGGTAGGCCTCTTTCGGCCTGAGGTCAAAACACGTAGCGGGTCCTTCCTGAAAGAAGGATTCGGCCAAAGGAATTCCTAATTCGAGCCAGGGCGTCGAGCGGAGGCGAAAGTGGAATGCCTCTCATGCTCAAAGCAGAAAAAGTTACATGCCCCAAAGCTCTTCGCCGAAGCAGTACGCCTCTGGCGGATAAGATTCTGCCAATTTCCAGGAATTAGCTCATGATCCCACGGCTCAGGTGGCAAAGGCGTGGGTGTAGCCATCTTCTTCTTCTTGGCTGCCACGAAGCCAGGGTCAAAGCGTACATTCCAGCGCTGGCCTTTCATCAGGAAGCGCTGACTGGAGCAAGGAGAGCTTATATAGCCGCATGCTGAGGTCCAGTCTGTTGAACTCTCCATTGAATTGCTCCCAAGACGGCACGAGCTTGACTCAGTTCATCTGGACTGATCTTCTCGCCCTCCTTGGAGATCGTGATCTGCTTGATCTGGCTGCAGTACTCAGCATGGTCCATTCGGAAGCCGAAGTCACTCTCTTGCGACAAGTTGATGCCGCAGTGTTGGAAGGGTGAAGGCTCCCAAGGACTCCATTTCAAAGAGTCGTACAGAGTTTGTACGGTTTGCAGCCACTTGCCATTGCTTTCGTCTCCAATCAACAAAAAATCGTCGACGTGGGTCCCCATGGCGCCAACCACCTGATCACCATCTTTGCAGACCCACAGGCAAGGTTCACAGCGAAGCCGCTTCATGCCACATGGACCTTGGGCAATGTTGGCAACATCATGGTACCATTCTCTTGGGGCGTTCACCAGGCCGTAGGCTGCTCGTAGAAGGCGAACAGAATCTTGAGGTCCCAACTTCAAGGAACACCACGAGCTCGTTGAGATTCTGAGCCCTGTAAGAAAGCTGCCTTGGCGTCTGCCTTGATGACATGCCATCTTCTGTGGGTGGCCAAGTTCAAGAGGAGGTGCTTGCTGCGCTTGGAAAGCGTCGGTGCTGCAGTGTCCAAGAACTCACCTTCAGGGTCACTAAACCCCAGGATGACGATGCGAGCTTTGGCCTTGACACGGCCAGGAGTGTCGGTGCCTTTCAGCACCAAGACCCATCTCATTCGCATCAGTCGATGCTTTGGCACGAACCCCAAGGCCTTTTCAACCACTTTGTTGCTGACCCAAGACGTCACCTCCAAGGTCTTTGCCTCACTCATGGCCTTCTTCTGGAGGGGATTGAGTTTGTGCCAGGAAATTTCTGCTCCCTTTTGAATGGATTTTGCTGTAAATTTGGAAGGGTCTTTGAGGATCTTGCGCCATTCTGCCTCACTTGCTGGTGCATCGATTTCCACACCGAGGACGAAGGAGTTGGTCTCCTCAACGCACCAAGTCACCATGTCTTGGTTGTCGGAGGGATAGGCTTGAGGAAATCTCACGTGATGAGGTCGATCCTCCATCTCGTGAGCATGCCTTGCTCTTTTGAAGTCAGCTTCTCGTCCAAGTAGTTCAGGTGGCTCTCGAGGAAGAGGATGTAGAGGGTAGTAGCTTGGATCATCCATGAGCCTGTCAATGTCCAGGTCTCCAGTGTCATCAGGATGCAGTCCAGGCAGAGGATCTGGAACATCTCGCTCCTCCGCTTCAGGGATGAGTTCTTCAGATTCTGCGCTCATCTCATCCTCATCACGAGGGAATCGCTCCATCTGGAGTCCAGGAGCGCGTCACGCTGATCTCCTCATCCTCTGCATCTCAAAGCGCTCGGCCTTTGAAGAAGTCAAGTCCTCATAGGCCCCTTTTGAAAGAGAAGCTGCCAGCATAGTGAAGGTCCAAGGCATGGCCATCGTGTTGGCGGCATTGGCAATGAGTCTTTCTCTCTCGCTGCTGTGGCGAACTTGATCTCCATGAGCTTTCAACAAACGGCCGGAATTCACCAGCCAAATCACGCTGGAGGCTTGTCTTGTAGTTCCAGAACTGTCCACGCGTGTCTCGCAAGCCAACACGCGAGCAGGACCATACCAGCGAGCAATCCTCATTCTTGGGGCATCAACATCTTGATTTGCTGGTGACTGTCGTGGAACTTTATGTCGCTGGTAGTAGACGATGTCTCCAGGCAAGAACTGCTTGGTAGGCTTTGTTCTGCTGTTCATAGCTCTTGAAATGCGAGCTTCTGCTGAAAGTCGTGCGTGTAGATGTTCTGCTTCAAGCCGTAGTCGCAAGTTCTCCGCCATTGCATGTCCAGGCGTTCCTTGCGAGCAAAGAAGCGGGAGGTTCTCTTTGGTGGCACCCTCTGATCTTCCAAGTGCCCATTGTGCCGGAGCAAAACCTCCAACTCGTGCCACATGATTGTGAGCCTGCATCATGGCATGTGCTGCACGACGAGGATGGGTTGGCTCATTCCTCAAAAAGGTTTCCATCTTCAATCGTAGTGAGCCAATTGCCCTTTCAACATCACCTGTCGTAGAGTGGTGTTCGGCAGGCGTGTGATGAAGATCGATTCCTCGATCGGAGCACCATCTGGCAAGATCCAGTCCTCGGAAGGCTCCTTCTGCATCACATCGGAGTCGTTCTGGAAAGCCGAAGTATTGACACCAGCTCTCTTCCAAAGTTTCCAGAACTTCATTCGTGGAGACATTCTCGGACTGGTCGTCCTCGTGGTACTTGATCTCTTTTACCACTCCAAAGCTTGAAGCTTCATCCAAGAGAAGCAAGAAGTGATGAACCCAGCCACGGTGGCGCATGTAGAAGGTGTCCATTTGCAACGTTCTCCAAATCACATCTTCCTTCTCAGCCGCCACCTTTGCAAGAGGAGTGGAGACTTGGCTCTCCACACAGTCAGGACACTTCAGCTGGGATGCCACAGCCAAAACTTTCTCATTTGCACCTCGAGCTCGAAGAAGCTTGACTAGTGCTCGGTTGTTTGGGTGCCCGCAAAGTCGATGAATCTTGCGCACCGATTCCACCAAGTGTTGCAGCTCGAGTGGAGTGAGGCTCTCAAGAACTTCAGTCTTTGGATCTTCAAATAGAGCTCCTCCGACCAAATCGGCAGGCTGCAACATAGCCCGAGCTAGCCTCCTGCAAAGTTCAGGTGTGTAGAAGGCTGACTTTCTGGCGTTTGAGCCAAGGCACGGGACATGATGATGAACTCCAGGACATAGTCAGTCCACCCCTTGGAAGGCCTTCTCATCAGTCACCATGAAGCGCCAGGGTTTCTTGATTGGCCCATCGCTGCATTGCAAGCCATACATGCAGCCATCAACCAAGACTTCATAGGCATAGCCTTGGTCACGAAGGGCGAGCCAAAACTCTTGAACTTCAGAAAAGGCGCCATGCTCGATTATAGCGAGGCCATTCCCAAGCAACATGTCCTCCTCGAGCTAGGTGATATTGAAGCACCTGAAGTCCTCCTCTCAATACCTTTCTCGCATGCCTTTTCCGGAAGGCACTTTTCATCTTGCCGGACTCGGTCAGCTCGTTCAAAGCTTGCACCTGAGAAGTCGGGCCGCAAGGAAATGAAGCCCAAATCCACCGTGGTCGATGGACGTCGATCATGTCGATGGTCTTTTGGATCCCCTCAGGCGTGGTCAAATTGCACTGGTTGAAGAGTCCTGCACGTCCACCACGACCGCCGGCTCGAATCACTTCCTGAATCAACTGAGAATTCTCGTCGCAGCAAAGCTCAAGAACGTCCCAATGCTGCGAGTTGGTGGTCATACCGCATGTTGCGAAAGCGGCTTCTATCTCTTCATTGAAGTCCTTGGTGTTCTCCTCGAGGAACGTCTTCTCTTTGTCCAAGAACTTCGACATGAAGTAGACCCGTTCTTCTTCTTCAGAGCCAAGTTCAGGGTCTTTCGAATTTGATGTCTGCTCAACTGCCCCTTTCTCACCATAGGTCTAACCATGATCTTTCTTGCAGGAATGACTTCCCAGACTGGATCATCAGACCCTTTCTTCTTCACAGGGAGGCTGGAGATGGCTGGGCCTCCGAGCTCGGCGACGCCAGTGATCCCGGTGAGATCTGAGGCCAATGGTCTTCCAGCTGCTCTGCACTGTCGTCGGCTCTTCTGGTCTTCCGGCTGGCGTGACCTGGTAGATGCTCTGGATCGGCTCCTGTCGGACTGGCCGGAGATGGTGTCGTGTTTCCGCTCTGATCCTGAGGGGTTGCCGTCGAGGTCGTCGAGTATCCTGCTGCCTTCTTTCGAGCTTGGATCACCTCCAAGCGGGACAGCAAGCTCTGTTCGGCACCCTCCAAGCCGATCGCCGGATCCTTGAGCTCCTTGTTGTAGGGCGCAGCCGGACCAAGCTTCTCCACCACCTTCTTGGTGTCCACGGGCAACGGACCAGGAGCTCGGTGGGTTCCAGTGGCTCCATACGCTGGGGTGTATGACAGCCTCAATTTGCACTTCTCGCATCCGGTCCATGAGGCATGTCCGTTGGCCCCGCTCACCGATCCTCGATACGGAGCTGCAGGTTCGTGGTTTCCAAAGCATGGTGGTCCTGTCGCTCGAGGATCTCGGCTGTCCACTCCCACCGTCCGGGTCTGATCGTAGCGCTCTTCCCAAGTCATCTTGGTCTTGACCGGGCTCTTCTTCTTCGAATCGGCTGCGCTCGATCCCGTAGACTTCGGAGCCATGAGATGCGGGAGCAGGAAGGGTCTGAGCGGACAGAAGGGGCGAGGCAAGTAGTGCCAACAGTCTCAAAGACATGTCGTTCTCTTGAGCCGCAAGTGCCACCGAAGATGATCTCAAAGTGTCCCCATCTTCATGAACTCTCACCGCACAAACATCACTCAAATAAGAGGTGGCATCTTCTGAAGGCATGGAAGTGAGCGTGGACATCTCAGAAGGTGAAAGGACTGCTTCAATCTCTAAACCATAACAAACATGCTCTTCATGACGTGCTCCAAAATCATGAACATGCCGATCATGAAGTGCTCCAAAAACAGGTGTGTGGTGTGCAAAACATCATGACCTTCTGCCTGATCTTTCAGCATAAAACAAGTCTCAGGTCGACTGCGCTCCTTGTATGACTCCGACGGCAAGTTGTCATCAGCCGCTAGCAAAATGCGTGCACCGTCGGCCAACCAATCGTGGCTGAGGTCAAGGAGAAGGTGACCCGATGTGCTCTTCTTGAGCGGAACAAGGAGCGTGGGGTCAATTGCTGAAAAGATCACTGCACTCTTGTTGCAATGATTCAAAGCTCCCAAACGTGAGAGCGTGCGAATTCCTACCAAAACAGGTACTCCTTCAGCTTGCAAAGTGAAGATGCCCAAACTCAATCTATGTTGTCCCAAACGCTGCGGCAGCAAGACCATGCTTTCGGAACGTTGTGTCATTCCATTGCCGAACTTGAAGGTCTTGTTTGGGCAATTCATCACCTCAAAATCCATCCAATTTTCCTGGGTCAGGCGCCTCTGCTTCATGATGTTCTCGAGAGCGCCAAGTCCAGCGACCGTCTCGGTCGCACCAGTGTCAATCACTCCAAAGCCTTCCACTTCTGGAAAACTTATCTCTCCAGCTGCCATGATGGATGCCGAAGAAATAGGTTGTGAAATAGGCCAACACGTGTAGGTGGCATCTTCAGTCTCCTCTTCAGTCACCATGAACACTTTGCTGCCACCAGAACCAAACCCTTTTCCGGCCTTGGAGCGTCGAGGGCAGTTGCGGAAGTCGTGACTTTTCTCTCCACAAATGAAGCAACCAGTGTACAAAGGGCTGCCAGGTTTTCCACCTCCAACGGCCATGACATGTGAGGGGGTAGAAGATGATGAAGAACCTTTTCCACCACTACCAAAAGGTTTGCCCTTCTTGCCACACCCTTTTCCTTTCCCTTGGGGTAGAAGCCACGGCTCGCACTTTTCGCATGCATAGCTTTGCGACTCTCCTGGAAGGTCCTTATCTTGTCCTCGTAGGCCGCATAGGCGTCCTGAATCTGCTGAGTCTCCTCAGGTGAGCCGGACCACATGATTTGTTCCCAAGGGTCGGATTCGCTCCAGGCCCAATAGGTGCCACCACCATCAGCGTGGTAGTACTCGCCGTCATCCTCCAAAGACCACCACACATAGGCCCCAGGATGAGTGGGATCACTCGCCCAAAAGCCATCTTCAACCTGCTCATAGGGCCTCGAAGAAGAGGGAGATGTCATCGACGGGGATGAAGTGGTTTCAGTCGTTTGGAAGACAGTTTGAAGTCCGCCATGCACCCAATGAATCTCGTTGTTTTTCAGAAGGTCTTCGGTGTCAAGGTCATCGTGCAAGAACAGGCCCCATTCTCCATCACACTCGACCCAAAAGCTGGATCGGTTCTTGCCTTTTCCTGAACCTTTATGGCGTCCATCACGTTCTCGGTCCAGGAGGTGTAGTTCATCTTCAGCACCACGTAGGCCTCGTTCGATGTCTTCGGCCTTGAGGCTGTTGCCAATGCTGGACAACACATTGAGTCGTTGAGCGGCATTCAGGGACGATCGACGAAGCATGAGCCAACCGATCAACTCAGTCGGAAGAACTTCTGGTAGGCCTTGATCAAGATCATCCCAAAGTTGCTCCATCGTCTCATCAGAGCTGCTGGATTCTGATCGGTCACCTGATCGAGAAGGTGAACCCTTTTCACGGCCTTTTGAACGAGACCGTTCTCCTTCAGCAGCTGAGGCCTCCGCAGGAGCTGAGGCGGAAGCCGGTTCTTTTCTCGCATGCTCTGATCCTTCATCTTCAGCAGCTGGTTCAGGCACCGAACCAAAACTCTGGCGTCTTGCCATAGGGCTCGAGGTCGGAGAAGTGCCGGACTTGGAACCACCTTTTCCATCAAGGCGAGCTCGCTTGAGGGCCCGCTGCAACTTCCTATAGTTCTCACGAACCAAGTGGCACCAGGTAGCCATACTTTGTCCGGGAGCTCGCCTCATCCGTAGTAGAAGATCTTCAGCTCGTGAACCTGCATCAGGAATCGGCACACGTGCAAGTCGGTCTTCAAGGAACTGGATGAGGTAGCGAGCGCCTGTGGGAGAAGTCAACTGTCGGTGATCAATCTCCTGAGTGACCACCCATGCTTTGCCACTGAGCTGGGAAACAAGGTCGGGTCCCAACTGTGATCGACGCCTCCTCCGAGTCTTCTCATAGGCCAATCTGACCTTCCTGACGTAGTCGGGCCAGGTCGAAGCATCACCATCCCAGTGACAGCGAAGTGAGCTGTCTCTGTCTTTCTCTGCCATCCCTTCGGGTAGAAGATATACTGCAAGACTCGCGCAATGAGTTCGGATGAAGGGAAATGGCCAACAAGCAAAGTTCACCAAGCGTGCCCTGGATCTCTTCGTGCAAGGACCGCTGATCCACTCCGGTCAAAGCCTCTCGTGAACCAGCGGGAGCCCCGGCCAGCGAAGCCGAGGCTCCGCTACCAGTTTCGTTGGTGAACTGGTAACACCAAAAATGGCAAAGGTGTCGAGCAAAAAGAGGTGGGTGTAGTTTTCAACTAGCAAACAGCTCTCAAGCTCCAAGTGGTTTTCCGCCGCCTCTGCAAGGGCGAAGTTCGTGAACCGGTAGGCCTCTTTCGGCCTGAGGTCAAAACACGTAGCGGGTCCTTCCTGAAAGAAGGATTCGGCCAAAGGAATTCCTAATTCGAGCCAGGGCGTCGAGCGGAGGCGAAAGTGGAATGCCTCTCATGCTCAAAGCAGAAAAAGTTACACCAACTGACAACACTGCAGGTGCTAATGAACATGATCAAATCACCATGCTGCAATCAAAAATCTGCCACCCTCTTGCATCAACAATATTGCAAAGCTCAGATGTCGACGGGACTTCGCTGAGGTCTTCGGTTCCATACAGCTTCAGAAGCATACTGGTAAACCTGGAGTTTCAACCCCCTCCTCCGCCTCTGTACAGGTGACCCTTGCATGCACCTATAGGATCCTATAGAATGATCCAATGCACTCAATCAAAAAGCGATGGCCTCCAACCTAATAGCAATGGCCTCCAACCTAATAGCAATAGCCTCCAACCCAATAGCGATGGCCTCCACCTAATAGCAATAGCCTCCAACCTATTAGCAATGGCCTGCAACCTAATAGCGATGGCCTGCAACCTCATAGCGATGGCCTGCAACCTCATAGCGATGGCCTCCAACCAAATAGCGATCGCCTCCAACTGATAGCGATGGCCTCCAACCCAATAGCGATGGCCTGCAACCTAATAGCGATGGCCTGCAACCTCATAGCAATAGCCTCCAACCTAATAGCGATGGCCTGCAACATAGCGATGGCCTGCAACATAGCGATGGCCTGCAAC